CAAGCCTGGCCCCATCCTCCCTACATTCACCCCTCAGGTACTTGAACATGTTGATCAAATCTCCTCTCAGCCTTCTCTTCTCCAGACTAAACAGGCCCAGCTCGCTTAGTCTTTCCTCATATGACAGATGCTCCCTTAATCATCTTTGAAATAATTTGAAAGATAATATCCTGTTAAAAGTCTATCTTGAAAACAGCCAAGGAAACCCATTTACTTTTGGGCAAAAGGAAGAACAGCTTCATTCAGTCAGAATCACTTGTTTTCTGTGAAAGAAGTGGCTGTCTCTACTACTTACAACAGCAAAACAAGACAGTATTCATCCATTTGGTCTTAACTGTGTACTACTGGAGACAGGGATAAAATAAAACCCAAGACAGGGACCAGCTAAATCTATTTCACTAAAAACAGTGAACATCATCCACTATTAGAGACCAGATATTCTAGAACTGCCCACTACCAACACACATACCAGGGGCATCCACTGAATAATGGCTAGAAATAAAACCCATTATTGGAAGATTCCTTATGATGCACCTGCCAACCTTTTTACTCCTCATAGTCTTGTTACTAGCTCCTCCATATCAGTAACATCTCAGGTATGGCTTTGTTACACTAAGTGTCCACTAGCTGCATCAAGAACATTAGGAGAGCTCTTGTCTGAATTCATAGGCTGTGTTCATTATTCCAAACCACTAGTAATAGCACTAAATAACAAGTCAGCCTATAACCAGAAGCTTAAGTAATGAAGACTCAAGCTCTTAGCTATCTGTCTTTTCAGCCATACTACTGGTACTGATAACACTATGTATAACTCAGACAACACTGACCAGATGCCAAGGCTTACAGCCTTCCAGGAAGCACCATGCACAAAACATCCCTTTGCCACAGTTTCCAGACTTAGCTGCTAAATATTATGTTTTGAGCTATACAAATTTTCCTCTGAATGCACTTTCAATGACCTAAAGAAAAATCCAGACAAGATGCTGATTTTGGATCTCTAGTAATAATCAAAAACAAAGGGTGGATTAAAAAAGCAACTAGTTTACTTCCTAATCCTTTAGAGATAAAGCTACTCCCAGAGATAACACTTTGAAAGTAGCATACCAACATTCTGAATCTTTTTATCTTTGCCAAAAATAAAAATCTTAGACTAAAACAATCCACAAAGTTTCTACCCCTTACTCCCTGCCCCACCAAAGCAAAAGAGTTAACTTTTCTCTGAAGATAGCAATAGTCAAAAAATGCTTCTCAAATATATACTCGGCCTAAACTCACCGAAGCCAGCCCAGGAACACTTTTATCCAAATTAAAGAATTCATTGAAGTCAAACTCTCCTGGAGCTGGTTCTTGTAAAACAGCTTCCCTAGGAACTTCTTGATCTGCTGGAGTTTCATTGGCAAGGACAGTCTGCACTTCATCCTCTTCTGCCACTCCCCCGTTACATTCTATCCCTGAAAGCAGCAAGAAAAAAAAAAAAATATATATATCTGCTGAGACACTGAACTTGGCTATTTCCTATGGAACCATACCAGGCAAGTAGTCTAGGACCAAAGTAATCAAACCACCTCTGTGATATTTGATTAGCTAGACTGTGATAGGCTGTTGTGACAAGAACAAGAGCTTCTGGTTTGACATTAAGACTATCTGCATTAAAACATGAAAATAAAAATTGCTGTTCAATGAATAATTGCATCCTGATCAACCCAAGAAAGTAGGCAGAAAAAAAGATCAGATATCCCTGCTTGTCTGCTTTACTTATGATAACTATTACATTAAGTTAACAGCTTATGCTGCTTCTCTTTTGGAAAATTATTTGGCAGTGTGTTTTCTTCCTTGGATGTCCTCTGAGCAGGTTCTCTGAAAGCTGGTGCTTGACAGGAGCTTTCTTAAAAAAAAGTTGATATTTATCCTACTACTCTGTCAGAAACAGATTACCAAACTAAATTTATCAAGCTTATACAGGTGCTGAAAGAAAACTTTAACCTGACTACACACCCAGTAGGTTTAAAACTGTACCACACAAAGCAAAAACAGTTAAGCCTGAACTTCTCAAGTATACTTTGTCCAGCTGGGGCATTTCCAACATTAAGGCAACATCTTTTCTTGCCACAATCAAGTTTATACTGCAGTTTTTTCAACAGTAGTTGTGGTAGCTTTGTGGAGCCAAATGACTGTAGACAAATTCAGAGTATCAGCTTAAAACTGTATTGTTGGGACACTACATGGAGCTACCGATAACCTTGGTCTTCCATAGCAATCCCACATGCATTTCAAGCATCTCAAAACATTAACTTCACTTAAAACTAGCCAAGATATGAAAATGGACAAGACCCATGTAGTAACCTACAAACTGTTTCCCCAATCATTCAGTATCTTTACAAAGATTTTCCAGCCTCCAAGTCCTGCCTTTGAATTCATGCATCATAAGATACCTTGAAATAAGCTATACTTTTCTAAAAGAAATATAATCCTTCACAAGCATATATAACTCCTGGTTATCCTGAAGCCTTAGATAAACTGCAAGATATTGCCAATCACACTATCTTTGATGCTTGCCTGCATCTATAAGAGGACCACCTCTATAGAGAGCAACACAGAACCATAGTAGGCAAGTAAAGCCTTTTCATTACCTTCTTTTAATGAGGCCGTGCGTCGTCTTGTACGTTTTCTCCCTTTGTGATCTTCTTCCAAAATTTTATCATCGAAGCCTGTGAGCTCAATGGTTTCAGACTGACTTGTGGGACCAGCAGAAAACCACTCTGGTTCCTCTTCGGTATAGGAATCATTTCTTCTCCGTTCCCCAAAGACACGTTTGCTGTCACCAAATTCACGCTAAAGCAAGATATTAAACAAATAAAAAAATCCCAAGAACATCAAAATCATGGTTAACTGCAATTTCATAAAATTCCTTACCTCCAAATCAAGGGGATACCTATTCATACCAGCTTTGTCCTTCTAGGGTTTTTAACTACCCATTCAGGATGCTTAGTAAGCTTTCTGATTTTAATTTTTGAGTTGGTGGTTCCTCCAGTTCCCCTGCCCTCAATTTTTTTTTTTGAAGTGTTCAAAAGCACACAAAGCATCCATATGCTGATGAAGACAGCGCTTGCTGACAACTGCTAGAGAGAAACCCACTGTCTTATTGTACATGAAGACTTAGTAAATCCAAAAGGCAACAATTAATTTCCAGAAGCCTTCCTAAAGGAGGACTTTTGACCATCTTGCCATTACATACGGCTGAAGCCTGCAATACACAGACCCAGATACAATCCAACTGACCTGTCAGAAGGACTAAAAAACTAAGTTTATGAAGCACTGAATGCACACGCTTATGTGGAACATTCAATTCAGTAGTTTAACCTGCCCCTGCTGCTTTAGCGCACAGTGTCCAAAAATTTTGATTTAGTAGTTTATCAAGACAAGGAATAACAAACCCTGAAACGTTTGTCTTTGTAGTCTCTCTCACGATCTCTGTCTCTTCCATCTCTAGAATCACGCATGTCTTTTTCACCACCCCGGTGATCTTTATCAAAGTTACGAGAAGAGATAATTCTTCCACTGCCAATCCTGCGGCCACCGATAACACGGACACCATCATTCTCTTTTTCTAAGGGGCTCCCTGCTCGACGCGAGCCAACGGCTGCAGTTACATGGCAGCCTCCTCCGAAGCTTCGCCTTTGTGGGCTCAGGACTACATCCAAGTCATCTTCCTTCACTCGTTCCCTCGGATCTGCAGGAGAAGAAAAGAAAAATACACAAGTAACAACTAGCTTGTACTTACCAATACATTATCTGTATAACAACTTTCTCTTCTCTTCTGCTTTGTTATTACTCCAGAAATTTTTTTAAGAAAGTACTCCTCAGTTAAATTTTTAATGATGCCAATATTCCAGGAAAAGCAGAGAAATAAAAATAAGTATAGTTCAATATTCTCTCAAGAGTACTTAACATTACACTTCAGAACAGTAGGATGTAACAACTGACAGCAATCTAAGCTTGTCATCTCTAATCTAAGATAACAGTTGCCAGAATAACAGTAACTAGTAGACACTTGGAATAAAACAAATATCAAGGAAATCTTGGTCATTTCAACAAAACAATTTTCTGTGAGATTTTGCTTAATCTCATTGACCTAAGCCCCAAGGAAAGGTTTTGCTATGTTCAATTCTGAGTTCTGTGCTTGAAAAGTGCACTCACCTACTATCCTACGCATAAGAGAAGTTCGATCTGAATCCAAATCTTTTTTGAAGCTTTCCACTGGTGAAGTTCTTCCTGAACTTGGATATAAAGATGCATGCCACTTCTCTGGATCCCAGACACCATCACTATGAAAATAAAGTTCCAGGATTGTTTACTGCTTGCATCCAAATATGTATTTTAGCACACTATCTGAAAGCTAGCAGAATTCACTCGCTAGTGACCTTGCTAGCAGTCAAGATGTAGTCTTTCACAGCCAACATATAAATATGCCTTCCTACATTTCTCTACCATGAATTGCTTGATATTTTGTAAAAGTAGGGAAACACAGTATTATCATCAGGTTATAGAAGGGACAGCATATGATCACACTGTTCATTAGGTAGTAGTGAAGTTCACCTAGTACACTAAGAAAATCAGTCAAACAGATCAAATAACACGTTTCTTGTTTATTGAGAAGACTTTTCCTACCCATTTTCATGCTTACTTGCACAATAAATTATTCTGAATAGCAGAGAACCTGTTGTTTAGCAAGCTTGCTCATGAATGCAAGCCAAAAAAACACCCTCATTTTTAACTGAGGTGCAGAGTCAACATGGGAAAGTAATCCATCAACCAAGCCAGCCTGCTGCAACATGATCTAGCCAGTCTGTGCTATAAGCCCATCTATTCTTTTAGCAGAGCTTTTATCTAACTGAACACAGTACTGGAACTCTGCTGAAGCATGATTTTCAAGCCTGCGAGTCTTGTATAGCATCCAGTTTTCTGCTGGATCTTATGTTATCATCTTTGTTTAATGAACAAAGTTTCTGGTGAGAACATAAGCCTACTCTAGTAGGTTAATATTTATGAAATGCCATAGTATATTAAACTCTAGAGCAAATACCTTTTATCAGCATTGGTGTGGTTTAAGAATTTTTTTGCTACGTAGAATATAAGCAACTGTTCCACAAAGAGTTACTTGTAAAACGAAGAAAATACCTGTCATATTTTTCAGAAAGACAAGAAGGTCTTTGCTTGGAATAGGGACGCTCTTTAATATCCAGCAATTCTTCCTGGAAGAAGCAACAAGTTAGTTTCAACTCTCACACAGACAAGAATAAAGTGACTTCACCCTTTTCCCCCCAGATCTATTCCAGACTGTCTGTTCCATACAGTGCCTTAATCTAACAACACAAGTTTCCCAACATGTGGCTTAATTTCCCATTTAATACTACAGTGAAGAGTTGACACCGAGAAGCATGTTGTTCTTCATTTCTTCCATCAGTGACAACCGAGTAAACCTTGTTCCAGAGGAATCGAGTAATTCATTAAACAAAGCTACAGATCATACCTCCCATTACTTTAACATACAAGAGGCAAGACAGTGCAATGCCGCTTGAGAAACGAGAGCAAAACTAGGCCAAAATAACAGTGATATTTCATAAAAAAAGTTCCTGAATCAAGTTTCTATACAGAAGAGCACTTTGAGAATGATTGGGATGCCAGAAGAAGCTTTTTACTAGCAGAACTTCCAAAGAGCTGCGGGCTGTTAAGTCCTTGGACTCTGAGGGGGAAGTTCACATAAGACACTTTCAGGAAAGGATCTTAAACTAGGTACAACTAAGTTTAGTCATATCAGAACTTCAGAAAGAACCTGAAAAGCATTATACAGTCTTAAATGACTAATCAATATAAGCTAATTACATAATGTCTAGCCAAAAAAAGCAAGCAGCATTACTGCAGTATTAGTGATTAAGTTAGCTCTCACTATTCCAGAGAACCTTGCTGTTTCTGACCACTACCAATTCCAAATGTAAAATGACAAGTATATTTTAGTTTCATCTGCTCTAACCAATACCATATTGGTGCTAATTACTAAAGTAATTAATTTAGCACTTTAGTAATTAGCACCAAATTTTTCCATTTTCTACCAGCTTCTGAGTAGTCCTTGGCTTACTACTGCATGCCCCTGAACAGCTGCTCAATTAATCTAGAGCCTCACTGCAGCCTGCCACATTTAGAAAGCAATATTATTAATGGTGTGATAGTTGAGGCTTTGAATCATCCTTAACTTGGCTGCAGAAATAAAAAGGAGTACTTCTAATTAGAGTTATTCCTGTTCCCTACCTTATTTCAGTCTGCCTCACTCCTAACTACTGAGCTGAATTCAGAACTGGGCAAAAAAACAGTGGAAGCTGGAAGGGATCTGCTCAGAGTCCTAACAGCAGGCACCATATCAACCAAACTGACAAAATTTGAACTATGTCAGCATGCCATGAAAATCAAGTTTTAGCTACATATTAACTTGATGCCAACTTGATATACAAAATCTATCTATATAGACGGTCATGAAAATCAAGTTTTAGCTACATATTAACTTGATGCCAACTTGATAGATATACAAAAATCTATCTATATAGACACACACACTCCAGCTGCAGTGAGAGAAAACATTTGATGAAAAGGAATACCCAAGTGTGACAGGGTAACATTTATGCAGGAAATACATAGAACAGATACTAACCAGCAAACAAGATAAAGTTAAGCAAAAATCAGAATACATAATAATATTTGCTCAATACTATTTTAAAGTTAAGCAAAAATCAGAATACATAACAATAATATTTGCTCAGTACTATTTGGGGTAAATTATTGACAATATTATTCTTGTTCTCTGCTCTGGGCAAGGAAACCAGACCCACTCCTTCCTAGCCCTACTCCAAGTCTAGAACAGAGTTTACCCCTGATCCCTGCCCCAGGAGCAGAGCAAAGCCACATGGCCAGTACTCATCCTGCACTGGTGTTTCATCATCTCCCCAGCAAAGGAGAGCTACTGCTTGGAAAGGCCTTTCACCAGAGAAGGGTGCTCCCAACACTCCCTGTACCAGTCACCACCAGAAGCAGCACTATGTTTTCCTAACAAGATGAGACACCCCGGAGAGCAGAGGTTTAAAGACAGAGAGACTGGCCTCCACCCACAGCCTCCCAAAATAAGTTATGACCTATGGGAAACACTAGTACTGTAACACTATCAGAGTCTGATGCAGATATCAAGAGTATTAACATCATTGCCCACCACCACCAGACTTGGCATTTACTATTTTGCTGGCCACGAGAGGGAGTCCACAGACCTCCAGCCAACAGAAGACTTGTAGTGGAATTTGTGGTGAGGAGCATTTGAGTTGCTCCAGCTAACCAGTGAAAGGGAGAAACAACAGCTTCAGAAATACACAGCTTCAAGCACACAACACTCCCATATAATAGGGCAGATTAATATTGGAGCTTCTACAGCTTTTCCTTATTCATACATGTGGGGGAAGGTGTGCTCAGCTGTTATTAAAAAGCTTTATTCAAACAGCTCATGTGGATTCATAGTGCAGGCCAATTTTTTTTCCCCTCTGACAATCTGTATTTACATACTACTGGCAAGAGAAAAGGTCCTCTCCAAACCAGCACTGTGTGTCCTGAAGCACCATCTCTTTTCCTCTTTTGCCCCCCACAAGAAGATAGGGGCCTGGTATGTGAAAACAGCTTTTAATGTTAATCACATGAGCATCTTAAGCCACCTGCATTTAAGGCATGCTAATTGTAAAGAACTTGTAATATTATTGTGTAAAACTGGATTGACTTTATGTTTCTTTACTTGGAGCTTTGTACAAACAGATAAACAAGACTGAATGCCTTCTGGCATCAATTCAGTCACTTTATTTTGAGTAGTATTAGAAGTGTGGGATTAACAGCAGTTGAAGCTACAAACTGCAGCAATTTTATTCTACAACTACCTGAGGGCTGCCTGAACACTGCTCAGAAGAACAGCCGCAATCCAAAGTTGCATTCGGTTATTCTTTCTGAGAGGAGCTGAACAAGACAAAGGGAGAACAAATATAGCTTCTAGGAAGAGAGAACATTCAGAGGAAGCCACTACCTATCCCTCACTTTAGGGTTTAGAACTTTTATTCAATCATCCCTATTACAGCTTGAATCTTAGAGAGTAAGCGAAAATATCTTCTCTAAAAAAATGCACAAGCCAGACTATTCCCATACAAGTTTTGCAATTTTGAAATACTCAGGCTATTGTTGATGTCTAGTTAAAGTAAGCTAGTCCCACTATCTCAACAGAACAGAGACACAATGATAATTTTTTTTTTTTTAAAAACAATCTACTAGGAAACCAACAGTTCAGAATTCCTCAGACAAGATAATGCAGCCAGCAGCAGCACGTCTCCTCTCTCCCTCACTTCAAGCCCTCTGTTGCAAACTTCCTTAATGCATTTCTGCAATGCTACAACCACCTGTTCCCACAGCTTTTAACAATGAAAGTATCAACCACCTCACCTTCAAAAAGCCTTTTATTCTAAAGAAGCTCTATGCTCAAAGTTTTTTTTTGTAAGATCCCAAATAGAATTTAAACCTTGAAAATATATAGCTTAAATCTGTGTAGTATTGAAAAAAATCCTTATTTGCACATTCTTTAATCACCTTCCTCCACTCAAATTCAGGTGTCAGAACAACTAATCAAGAGCACCTGTGTTAAAGTCTTAACATTCAGAATTGGCTGGATAAATACTTAAACTTCTAATTCCCAGACAAGATATATTCAAAGAAAACATTCAAATCAGAGAAAAAGGGCCTATTAAAACTGGCATATTATGTATTTCAATGAAGCGGCATCATACAACAAGTAAAAGGAGGAGGTCATGTTTTTAAAAGAACACTGTTGAAAGCAAACATGATTATGAAGTGCAAGAGCTTGAGACAGTTGGCAAAACACTCCAGGCTCTACCACAACGTCCCTCGGCATGCTGCGAGGTGACAACATTATTAATGCAATGGGAATCCCAAGCATATCAAGGATTACACAGCCGCTTCAGATTTAGCGATTTGCTTGCCTCAGACCATACTGAGAATTTGACCCCAAGCAAAGGCCTCTCAAGCCTATGGCACTATTTCCACTTCAGGGCAATCTCTGCCCCTTCAGCAATGAGCCACAGCTCACGTTCCTTTTGTTTTCCAGGGGTGGGATAGAAAATTAGGGGAGAGCAGCAGGAGGGAGCGAGCTTACTTTTGTATAGCGATGTGGGTATTTCGTGGTAATTCTGTTCAAGTCGTGGAAGGCATCCCCATTTTCCGCCTCCGTTGTGCCTCCTCTTTTATCCATGGCTCCTCCAAAGCGTTTGGCCACGGACCTGGTTAAAGCAGAACCAAGGCAGAGAGTGTTAAGAGCCACGTCCTGCAGGGCTGCGTCCCCCCAGCTGCCCACAGCTGTCGCTTCTCTTCTCCATGCAAGAGACCCAACGCGGCAACAGCTTCCCCTGCGCGCGGCACCCCCGGGAGAAGCAGCGAGCGACGGAGCCCCCGGCACCTCCCGGGCCGAGGCGGCCGTGCGGCCCCGACCA